ACGTGTGATAAAAAAAAAAAAAAAAAAAAAAAAAAAAAAAGGCATAAAATTTGAAAAAAGTAAACTCCTTTAATGAAAAGGCTGACTCTCTATCTAACAAAAACGGGGCTTCACCAACCACATAATCTGTGATGTATGGAGATACGTGTATATAAGTAGGGACAAAAAAATGCTAAAAGAATATATTCATAGAAAGGAAAAAATTATATACAAGCTTATATATCATAGCAAGCATTAAATAACACATCATATGGGATTAAGGAACGATAACAAATGCTTAACTACGTGTGGAGTAAAACGTGGCACGAGAAAAACTTTAGCATCGAGAGAAGAAGCCTCCTATGTAGTGATATAAAAACATGAACTGAAAAAAAAAAAAATGTTTACTTATACATTGTAAGGTGCAAATTGTTCATCATAAATTGTTAAAAAAAAAAAAAATTAAAATTGGATAGCACATAAGATAAAACCAGAAAAAATTCGAAGAATGGGAAAAAATTGTACGAACCAGCTAAAGGAATACAAAGAGAAAAGTTATTACAATTGCAAGGGAATAAGGGTGGGGGAAAAATGGCAAACAATTTGCGATTCTGCAAATGCTCTAGCTGTAGGGTATAATTCAAAAGGGGGGGGAATTCTTTTACTCACGCTAGGTTTAATGCGAAAACAGAAAGGAAAAAAATAAATATAAGATAAATAACATATATATACATATCTTAAGATCAAATTACCTCATCATTTAGTTATCTTAAAATTATTTAATATCACATTAAACGATCCTAAATTAATTCTTCTCAAAATTAAATTTCTTCGTTATAGGAACCTATAAGTGCTAGCGAAAAGCTATAAAACTAGCATCTACATCATATGTATTGCACAAAAAAGGGGGGAAAAAAAAAACAAAACACTTCATAGATGTATTCTAGGAATATGTTCAATATGTTTTAAATGATCCATGTATGTCTCAATAACGAATTCTAAATAGGTACACATTGAAAATGTGTGACACATTCGGTACTCTAATTGAACATAACCAAATGTACATCACACATTCTTTTACACACCAGATATGAACGCATGCACACATTCACATTGTACATAACGTATCATGTGCTGGCTAGAAGAATATAGTATGAAGTGGTGAGGGACACTACACGCTTACACACGTGGTATCGGATTTGAAGGGAACGGGGGAAAATCTACGCCACCACTTGGCAGTTACAAATTGGCAAAACGGAAAACCCACCTCTTGTCAAATCCTTTGGATGAAATTCATCCAACCGAAGGCCGAAAAAAAAAAAAAAAAAAAAAAAAAAAACACGGGAAAAATAGGTACAGTGATGAAATGTGTGAATATATACAAACGTACTTATGGGCAGACCACATCCGTTGGCGCGTCTACGTCTGCGCGAACTGGTGTTACAAAACGGGTGTTATCACTTCCCAATACATGTAACTACTTCACACAAGAACGCATACACATTTAATGCTACATATATGGAGAAATAATTAGAAATTTAAATCATCCAAATGTTAATATTAATACGAATATGTTTTATGATCAAGGACGTGACGGAATAAAGGATAGTTTTTACATTAAAGGACTATGAGCTCAAAAGGTTGCATTCATTATTTTTTGAGCTACGTTTGTCCTTTCGTCTTGGAGTGTATAAATATGTTTCGGTCCGCATTAATATTATAATTCATGGGAATGTATCTACAGGTACATACACGTATATACACTCGTGTGCACGCAAATGTGATCGTGCGCTGGGGCCAAAGGATTGGGCTCAAAAACGTTGCGCTGGTACGCCACACTGCTATACTGCGCGAAGTAACGAATTTAACAAAAAAGAGGACACATCGCATGCGATGTTTTACGATTTGTGTAACACGCGTGTTCCACTGAGCCCAAACGGATCGGACAAGGCGAGAAACATTCGTCCAGGGCCCACGTGTGCCTTGGATCTTCCAAAAAGTTAGTTCCCCCCTTGGGAGTTTTCAAATGGCATGAATAAAATGGTAGGAGAATGGTTTACTGCAAGCTGTTGCATGTGGCGTCTTTTCCCTCTCCTCGTAAAATGGCTCTCCCTGTCACCCACGCACTTGGGGCAGTATACACATAGGTATATGTAAGTATATATGTATGCACATATCCAGTTGCGTGCCTATAGACACACACACAAGTATACGCAAACACCTGCGCACAGCCGCGCTGCCAAACACGCACGAAACTATTTTACGCTTTATACCTTCACGTACAGCTCCAAAATCATGCAAACACTTCAAACGCAGGTGCAACTGTAAAAAACGGAATGTCACTCGCCCCTTTTAAAACTCTTTCAAACGAATGGTTTTCAATAAAAACGCAAATGAACTTATGTACACATGCATTTGTGGAAGGAAAAAAATGTATCACCTCTGAAAGCGAAAATATACGAAAAGAAAAAAGAAGTGAAAGTTATTCATCAACATTGTATGCATCATACGACAAATCAAAATAGGGTATGGACGTAACGCAAATGCTAATGGAAAAAAAAAAAAAAAAAAAAAAAAAAAAAGGAAAAAGTTATTTATATTTTTACATATGCGCATTTAAACAAAAAACGCATCATTACTTATGCCCACATTTACACATTAAAAAAAAAAAAAAAAAAAAAAACATATACTGGTGTACATACATACAAAAATTCACCCTATTGATATTTAGCTATCAAATGTACAAGTGAACATTTTGGCATATTCCATTTTCAACACTTCGCTTTAGTAATTTTCCTTCTTCCCCAAAAAGTAAAAAAAAAAAAAAAAGGCTAAACCACTGCGTCGATCTGATCCCTTTCGTAAAAATATCCATTTTTTTTTTTTTTTTTTTTAAAAACATTACAGTTGTATCCACGTTTTAAAGATAAACAAATGTTTTTTTTCTGCTTGATCTTTCACGCTTTACAGAGGAGCAGCATTCTCTACAGGCACCTGTACCCCTCTGCATACC